AAACCTGGGCAAAGCCCCCCCCCCCCTGGTCACAGCCGACAAATGTTGTTCTAACGTCAGCTGCGGATCCAGGAGGACTCCCAAATTGTGAACCCTCTCTGAGGGGCGTATAGTTTCGCCCCCCAGGCTAAGGGATGGAATAGCTGAACAATCCTTGGGAGGGAGCATCAATAGCCACTCAGTCTTGTCGGGAATGAGTGCAAGCTTGTTCGCTCCCATCCAGACCCTGACAGCCTCCAGGCACTGGCATATCACTTCTACCACTTCCATGCCCATCACAGAATTTTCAATTTTTCCAAAATACACATCCTCCATTTATAGCATTTAAGTATCAATTTTCATTTATAAACTCCTATCTAATTCAAGTATCACTTGATAAAAGGCATTGATCAATGTGGAACACTATATTATAGGACAACTACAATTTCCCCCTGAAAATAAGGCCCACCCCAAAAATAAGCCCTAGCCTGATTTTTTAGCATGCTCCTAATATAAGCCCCCCCATAAGCCCGTTAAGGTCGTCATCAACTTGTGTGTGAGTGTTTGTGTGTGTTTAGCACTAGGACTCTGATCACTGGAAGGGGGTGTAATGGGAAGAATGGAATAACACAATTAGCACATCATCAAGCAAGACTTCAGTCCTGGCAATCAACTAACAAAGAAACACAAGATGGATTCAAAAGAGCTTCAAACCAATCACTAGGAAAGGGAATAATTTATTTACCCCAATTAGTTGTCCAAAATAGAGTTCTCATGCACAATAGCAATAGGAACCTTAATCAGAAAAACTGGAAGAAATTAAACAAAATATTGATATTTTCTTCCGCCTCAATTAAAACTGGACAATGTGTTAAGTATTTCTGTATATAACCTGTAAGCACCAGCACTAGCACTTAGATTTATATACCACTTCATAGTGCTTTTACAGCCATCTCTAAGCAGTTTACAGAGTCAGCATATTGCCCCCAACAATGTGGGTCCCCATTTTACCCACCTCGGAAGGATAGAAAGCTGTCAACCTTGAGCCTAGTGGGATTTAAACTGCCAAATTGCAGTCAGCCAGCAGTCAGCAGAAGTAGCCTGCAATACTGCACTCTAACCACTGTACCACTGAGGTCCATTGTTTTGTTTTATTTTTTGGCTGGTTGCTATGCTTGAAATGTTGACGTTGTGCCTAGGCTACCATAAAAAATGGGCTAGGCCATTGGTGGAATGGCTAGCCACGATCATTTAGCTAGTCTCCAAACAAACCATCCAGGTGGGACTGGTCATTGCAAGGGCAGCAAGAAAATTACCCAGAGGAACATTGGTGCATGTAGCCAACACAATGGTAATCTCAAGGTGGAATTTGTTACAAAACTAAATCGGAGCAGTGATACAAGTAACCCAGAGGTGGGTTGCTAATTTTTTTACTACCGGTTCAGGCAAGCTCCCATGCTTGCTCCTGCATGCGTGAGACGCTTCTGTGCATGTGCAGAAGCGTCCGGGTGGGTGGGTGGAGCCTCCCGCCGTCACTACTAGCAGTTCGGCTGATCTGGGCCGAACCGGCAGCAACCCACCTCTGAAGTAACACAATTTTGCTTATTAGAATTGAAAGATTCTAGAAAGTTTGCTACAACAGACTTTTTCCCCGGAAAAATATGACCTCATTTCAGCAACATCAATGGCAATAGCTATTGGTCTTTGTTCTCAAGAAAAACTGAACAAAACTTATATCTGTATCTTGCTGACACCACTTACAGTATGTCAATCAACAACATCTAGGTGCTTTATTCATGCACTTCACCCATTGCTTCAAGGCCTTTCACTCCCCCTCCCCAAACAATCCTGAAGCGATCTCGTATCAGTCCTCCTTCCTTCACGAGCCCCCCTTTCATTCCTCACCTCTGGGGTGATTTCAATCTTCTCATAGCGGCGTTTGAATGGAAGAGTTAGCACCTCTGCTCTACGGTAGGACATGGGTGGAGGCAAGCAGTCAACCATCAAATCTGTGCGATGGGATTGGGTTGGAGGAGGCTGAGTATATTGCTCAGGACAAACCACATGGAGAGGCTGTTAAGAAAACAAGGAAAGCACTGGTGAGATTTTCAGTAAGTTACAATGCAGTTTCAAAGTATGGGGAAAAAAAAGATTTTCACACACTTTTTTCAGGGTAAATTAATTAAGAGTATATGCCAGTGATGGCGAACCTTTTCGGCACCAGTGCCAAAAAAGGTCACGCAGAAACATCAGGGCTCTGCTCTGGAAAAGCCAAACTTCCAGGTTCTAGTGCGCATGCGCATGCAACGATCAGCAGGCCGGTGCGCACGCACAGGCTGGTTTTCAGCACTGCTACGTGTGTGAAGAGATCGTGCTCCGGAAAAACCAAACCTTCAGGTTCTGGCATGCCTGTGCACCCGGCTATCAGCTAGCTGGCACACACCAGTTTTCAGCCCTGCCTCACACACGAAGGACAGCTGATCTGCTTGGAAAGGAATGAAATAAAATAAAATAATAAAATAGGACATATTTCCATCCTGCCCAGAGAACCCCAGTCTACAAATTCAAGGTACGTTCAACCATTACAGGACCATAAGATCATAAGAGCTCTGTTTTCATTGGCAGAGGCACTGCGGGTCAGTCCTTTGCTCTTTCCAGGGCACTGCCGCGGGCCAGATCTAAACACCCCGTGGTCTGGATCTGGCCCCAGGACCTTGAGTTAGACACCCCTGTTGTAAATTGTATCACTTATATTATGACACTATTACACAAATGATACCAAAATGACATCATTTAGATAATGAAGTCATTACACAAATAACATAAATGGACACCAATTATACCATTATGCAGCTTCCAATTGGATTTTGTAGATGGCTCCCTTTCAGTTGAGATGTGGAAAACTAAGGTTTCATTGTACTATTACAGCTTTGGTAGGACACTATGCTTCAACGAATATAATATTTGAAAGGTGCAGCTGTCTTACAGTGACCAGCCTAAATTCTGGGGTGGGGCCTGAGGACTATACTTAAACAGGATGATGCCAAGTGGGTGAGAATAAGTCACATAGACTTTTCTTTATGGTTGGTTTTTTTTTTCCTCAACTGCTGTTAAATTATTTTAGAACGTATCGTATTTTTCAGAGTATAAGACACACCTTTCCCCCCCTCCAAAAAAGAGGGTGAAAATCTAGGTGTGTCTTATACACTAAATACAGCATTTTTGGCCTACCAAAACTCCGCCCCCTTACAAAAATGGACGTGCAGAGAGTTTAGGAGGCTTGCAAAGTGCTCCTAGAGGCTGGGGGGACTGTTTTTGCTCAGTTTTGCCTTCTCCCCAGCCCCCAGGAACACTCTACAAGCCTCCCAAAGCCTCTGCATGCCCCCCCTTTTGTGCAAAAAATGGCCCGTTTTTACAAAAAACGGGCCATTTTTTGCTTGTTTTTGCCCCCCCCCTCCCGTCCAGCCCCCAGGAGCATTCTACAACCTCCCAAAGCTCTGCATCGCCCCACATTTTTTTTTTTTACCAAAAAAAAAAATGAGGCGTACAGAAGGTTTGGGAGGGTTTTTTTTTTTTTTTTTTAAATTACCTCTTCAAAATCATGATGCGTCTTAAACCCTGGTGCGTCTTATAGTCCGAAAAATATCGTGTCCCATGTGTTCCTCATCTCAAAATGGCAATCAGCCACATGGTTGATTTTGGACAATTGCACTGACAAACATAAATGAAAAGGAGCCCTAGAGGCTGGAAAAATAGGGTCAGGGCAACCTAGGTTGGAGTGTTTTCTGCTTTTGTAATACAAGTCTGTGTTACAGGACAAATGTCAGTTACATGCTCAACAAAACTTCACACAATGCAGTCTGGCAAAAATCCAGTTTCTAATCAGATATTAGCCTCTTTGGGAGTCTTCAAATATAGTCAATGATAAGGTTTTGGATTTTCTTCACGGAGCAATAAATTGGCATAAAGAACATTTCTAGGCACATCGGCAAAAGCAGAGGTTTTCATTAAAATGATGAAAGCAACACTGGATCATTGTAACACAAACTCTACCACAAGAACACATTTACAAAAGGGATGGAATTTGTGTCTTGGTGGTGTGGCACTGCTTTCATCATTTCTCCACGCTTGATCCCCCCCCTGCCCCCCACAGGTGCCTCAGTTCTATCATATATAGCAGAATATATTTTGGAGGCACCTGTACTTGGGTAAAGTATAATTTGGACTAGCATAAGCAAATTAAGTGAGCCACACAATGAGAAGGAAGGACTCACTGGAGAAGAGCCTAATGTTGGGAAAGATTGAGGACAAAAGAAGAAGGGGACAACAGAGAATGAGGGGGCTGGATGGAGTCACCGAAGCAGTAGGTGTGAGCTTAAATGGACTCCAGAGGGTGGCAGAGGACAGGAAGGCCTGGAGGAATGTTGTCCATGGGGTTGCGATGGATCAGACACGACTTCGCAACTAACAACAACAACAAAACAAATTAAGACAAGTAAAATTGATTACCTGTACTTCTTTGAGTAGTTTGGACACCTGGATAAAATTCAGCCTGGTGTCTATTGGACAATAGATACACTTCATGGCCAGTGGCTGGTAGGGGGCCAATGCATCCAGATAAGAGAAATCAGGCTCTGTAAACAGGAAAGGGAAGAGGGGGGAAAGGAAGAAACCTAGTATTTAATATTATGCCAAAACTTTGTCAAACCACACACTCCTCTAAGGGATGAGGGGTTTTGGTGTAAACCAGAAAGCAGGGACTATACAGCTTGGGGACATCGTAATGATTTCAAGCCCTGGGACAAAGAGGATGCATAGAATTTTAAAAAGGCAAGACAAATAAAGAGGAGTACAGGTGGTCCCTGATGTACGACCACAATTGAGCCCAAAATTTATTTTGCTAAGCGAGAAATTTGTTAAGTGAGTTTTGCCCCATTTTATGACTTTTCTTGCCACATTTATTAAGTGGATCATTGCAGTGACTCTGCTTGTCAGGAGATTTCAAAAGGGGATCATATGCAACTGTCACGAGTGTGAACCCGGTGTCAAGCATACAAATGTAAATCGCATGACCATGGGGATGCTGTAATGGTCGTAAGTATGAAAAGGTGGCCATAGGTCACTTTTTTCAGTGGCATTGTAACTCTTTTTTTACTTTTATTAAACATTTATAGGCCGCCCTTTTCCCTGAGGGGACTCAGGGCGGCTTACAGTAATAGGAACGGTCTGAACGGTCGCTAAATGAACTGTTGAAAGTCAAAGGCTATCTAGATAAGAATCAGTTTTGCATAGTAGCTACAGGCACTGAGCTAAATGCCAGGAGATAGTGAGTTTTAATTCTACTTTATGCCTGAAGCTAGTTGGGTGATTTAGGGCAAGTCAACCTGATTCAGCATGGAAAGAAGACAAGGGCAACCCTCTTCTGAAAACGTTGTTCAGAAAATTCAGTGTGCGTCACCAGGAATCAAGTTTGACTCAAAGATACCCAAAAGAAAAAGAGGGCTAGTGACAGGGTTTATGCGTTCATGGAAAAAGAGAAAGAGTTGACTTGTTACTCAAAGTCTTTGTTCAGCTAAACAGTCCAAATTCTGACATTTGAATACAAATGCAAGAGTCCATTCTCTTCCTGGACTGGATGGTTGTGTCAGCTAGCATCAGCTTTCTTTCCCACAATGCCCCAAAGCAATGCTATAACAGGATCTTTGAAGAAATTTATATTTAGAGATTCCTGCATATTTGCTCAAGGATCTTACTACCCTCTTCTTTATTATGAATCTATTGACTCTTCAACATATTATTTTAAGTAACCTAATTTTCCCTTCTTGCCCTACCCACCCATCACAGGCTCCTGATTTGAATGAAATCACTTTGACGGAAGAATTCAATACACTTCTACTGTGTTTTCCCGAAAATAAGGCCCAATAGGAAAATAAGCTCTTGCATGATTTTTCAGGATGCTCATAATATAAACCTGTTCTGACCCCACTCCATACGGTGAGTCATACTGATACAAGGTTACTGTTAGCCACGCTTTATTCACAGTAATTACTCACAGACAAGACTTTGGCAGCAACCCAGACTCCCACAGATAAGAGATACACACAAGAGCTTTAGGGAAGGTAAGTGAATCCCACCAAGTATGTAACTTGGC